AATGTAACTGATGACCTGGAAGGCAGGAAGGAAACATTCTGGTGTTGTTTCTAGCCTAATCTTTATTGCCCTGCTTACAGAAACTGCATCTCCGGTTAACCCTTATTACATTGTAACAGCTAAGGCCCATCGACCTGAGTGATGTTGAGTTGGCCACGCCCACACGGTCACATGACCACCAAGCCACGCCTACCCAGCTGGTCATTAGGGCAGAGAACTGGTTGTTAAGTTATTTGAATCCCACCACTGGATATTAGCATTATGCTACAAAAAAGGAATTTGATGTTTAATTTCCTATCTTCTTTGTCCATATATTCTAACTGCAGCCCAAGATAACATGGATGAAAAATAAAATGGTCATTATGAATGACCCACGTTACAGAATGTTTAGTAACCAGGGTGTTTGTACACTGGAGATTCGGAAACCCAGCCCCTATGATGGTGGCACATATACTTGCAGGGCAGTCAACAGTCTTGGTGAGGCTGAAGTTGAATGCAAATTGGAAGTCAGAGGTAAGAGGGTCTCTGTTGGGTGGGGTAATTTTCTTTGGTATAAAAAAATAGCTTGGAGGAAGATGCCTTCCTTATGATGACAATTTTTGCCTCTTTTGCTTTGCGGGAAAACACATTTACATAAATAAAATGTTAAGAGAAGAATATGAAAAGAGCAATTGGCAGATTAATTCCATGGAAAGTAATAGCAATATTTGGATCAAATATTTATGCCATACGGAGACTATGCAACATGGCTTTTTGAATATCGTAAATATATCTGCACCTCCATCATAAATACCTCTTGGGGATGTTTCCATAGTAAGGTAATACATAAAGAAGATTAGAAACTGGATTAGGATGTTCCATTTTTAACTGTAAAATAATCTAGTTACAAACTGATCTAATCAAAGGAACAGTTTAAGTATTACTTTCTTTCACTGAGCTCGTACAAATACTCTATAATGCACATTCTCTGTAGAATCTATATAGGTTCTAGACTCACTAGTTTCTGCCTTTTGGGACTGTCTAGCTTTTGTTTCTTACTTTTCAATCTTAATTAGTTCCATAATTATACTGTTATAACATTGAAAATCCAATGAAGCATTAACTGATTTAGTTAATGTATTATTAGCTTATTATTTTACTTGCTTTGGAATTTGTGTACTTTCTTTATCTTGCCCAATGACTCAAGCAAGATAGAAGTGAGCTGTCTTTGGCAATGTAGTATTTACATTTCCTGATTGTCCCAGTTTCTCTATTATTTACTTTTCTGCACAGAAGGCATGCCATCATTTCAAGGAGTTCACTCTTCCACGTCACATGATAGTAGAACGACAACTCATTCATAAACATCTAAATGTATGCTTTCCGCAAATTCTATATGTGGTTGTTTCATTTCAATCTAGCAAAGAATGCCACCGTGGGACATTCATAGTGTCTAGTGTCTATGGCACTAGTAACCATGACTTACTCCATTTATGAGCATTGAGACATTTTAGAAGTGCAAGAGTTGATCCAGTTTCCTTGGAAAGAAGCTACTGAAGGCTGATCGGTCCTAGTCAAATATAACCAAATTTCTTCTTCACATTCCAGTTTTCTTTATTTATTTTTCCTCCTCATTACCTAGAGAAGGAAAGACTAAAAAGGCTCCATACTGAAAGCACGGTTGCCAATTTCTTGCAGTCATAAAGAGATGTCTACTAAACATTTCACTGCAGTTGTGCTGGGTTTTTTGTTTTAGTTTTGATCTCTTTCTTCATTCTTCCTTTTCTGCTTAATATTTATTATCTGAAATCCAATACCTTTTAGTCATTGCCTGAATGATCATCTATCATTAGGGCAGTTCAGTCTGCTGAAGTGGTTGGACATTTAATTAAACAGCCTTCCAGGTCATCAGTTACATTTTCAATGACTTCAGAGTTAGCCCCGTTGATGTCAGTGGGATTTATTTCCATAAACCGGATTGTTGTTGGGGGCAATATGCTGACTCTGTAAACCGCTTAGAGAGGGCTGAAAGCCCTATGAAGCGGTATATAAGTCTAACTGCTATTACGATTGCTATTTATTTCTGAACAAATATACACCTAGCAAGAGTTAGTGTACTCAGCGATCCTCGGTAAACCTATGAATTTACCTATAAGGCTTTCATATGAAGACACATTTCCAGATATTCAAAATCATATGGCTTCACACAAACTAAGTACCTTCTTTTGTTTAATTCATTTTAAGAGGGGATGGGGTAAATATGTCAAACACTGTAGGAGTAAGGAAAAGCAGTCAAGGACTATAATGCAGAAGAACAATCATTTATGGTGCTTTTGTGATAATCATAACTAGGCCCCAATTTTGTTTTTCTATTTGCACTTTGATTCATAATTACTTGTACATGGGGCCTTCTGAAAGTTAGAAGTTCTCAGGCATCCACTCTAGTCATCTTTAAATGGAATCCAAGAAATCTGATGTATAAGGGCTTTGAATTTGTTTAAGCCCCTTAGACAAATTCCTGTAGATACTACAAGGAAAGGTTTAACTCCTTCCCCTGCATTTTTCCTGGGTGAAGACTGCTTCTGAGGCAATCAATATTTCTTCTCCTCTCCTGCTGAAAAACAAGGAATATCTTTTTTCCATCCTGGCACCTTCTGGATGTGTAGGGATAACACCAGTGGTGCTATTGAGCCGGTTTCTATCCGGTTCGGGTAAACCGGTAGTGGTGGCGGTGGGAGGCCCCGCCCACCTGCCCGGACATCATCATGTCCCATTTTTGATGCTCTGGGCATGTGCAGAAGGTCCTCACATGCATGGAGATGGCATGTGCATGTGAAGTGAGCGCGCACGGGCTCATATTTGCAAACCAGTAGCGAAGGTAAGTTGATTTCACCCCTGGATAACACCTTCCAGGTTTTTAGCCAGAATGGCAAAGCTTGGAAAAGTCAAAGTCAACTTACAATAACTGTTTGGAGTTGTGGGAGAAATGATATTGGTTTACTGTTAAATTTTGCCCATTGTTTAGTCTCTGTCCTTGCCTCTGCCTAAACTGACACTGAGATATTCATCATCTTAGATGCCGAACAGAATAAGCTCCAAGAAACTAGTTCTCCATGGTATTCATCCAATAAAGAAGATGAGTGGTTCTAAACATATTGATTCATTATAATTAAAAAAAGAGTGAGATGACTACGGTAGTTTCTTTTCTTTTTTTTCAAAGGCCTGGCAGATGAAAGAAAAGATAAGGCTCATTGCAATTAAATCAGGCTGACTCAAGTATTTTCAATTGAGCAAGTCACTTTAGATCACTCTCAAAGTTACAATTAATTATTTCCAAGAAATTCTACCCGTGTCAATAGAACTACCCTAGATTGCGTATTCTAATTATGGTGCCCTAAGATATATAGATGCTTTAATATCACTCATTGCAGCTTAATATTGGTCAGAATGTTTTTTCTTTCTATGTGTTGCAAGGAAGCTTAAAAGAATTACAGCTGGTTTTGTAGTGCTGAAAGAAAAGAAGAAGAAGCTTAATATTGTTAAAACAGTGGTGCAACTGAATGTAAAAGGAAATTAAATATTGCTCAATAAATCTGCAATGATATATTATGAAGAAATTTTGCCAGAAAAAAAACAATCTTCTTGGAGGAGCAGAAACTGGTGTTTAAAATCATATTCAACTTTTATCCCTTGCCTTTTACATAAAACGTGTTTGCATGATAAGTGTGTATTTCATACATGTTCTTCATCTTTGCCCCATGGCATACTTCTATGGCATGGACAAAGAAGATCAAATTAATCCAGACTATAGTAATTAATGTCTAGATAATAGTAACTAAGTTTAAATTTTCATTTATAAATCAATATAATCTTAGTTTGTTTTTAAAAAAAAATCTTAATCAACATCAAATAGTTTTTTCAATGACAAATGTAACATGTTTGACAAATAATTTCTAAATAGTTTATATTCAGAAGGACAGAATTATGAAGAATGGAGCTGAATAAGTAATAAACAATCTCTCAGCAGAATCACATCATCAGTGTTTAAATTGTCAAGAATAGAAATGATAACATATGATTTAGTGGTATATTAAGAAGGTCTACACACTTGAGAATAAGCTCTGATAGACACCATGAAATTTACTATTGAGGAAATACAGGAATGTGCAGTAAATTGTATAAAGTGAATTATAACCTGTAACATAATGATTTAGTAGGTAACTATACTGTATTTTTAAGAAAATATTTCCCCCTACAAAAAGGCATAGTTTAAAAGGCTAATTTAGAGTACATACAGCTTTGTTGTGCAAAAGTATATACTGGAATGTTATCTTTATGTAGCAATGCTTGATAAGTTTGCCTAGTAGTTATTCAAATAAAATAGATACAGATATAGATGGTTCAATGCTATGCATATGGCTTTTTACTATACTGAGAAACACTCTGGATACACTTGTGTGTGTGTGCGTGTACATATATCTATATCTCCAATTTTAATTAAAATATTTTAATTTAGTTTAACCTAATTTTTGTTTTAGTCTTAGATTAGTGACACAATTAGATTGGCTCCTTTATATCTCTTACATTAGTGTGGCAGCCAATCATTTGTGTTGTGCATAATTAATTAAGCTTCCTACATTAATGATAATGCTGAAAGTGTGCTAGACCCCTTCATCTTTTGACTTTCCATTGTCTTTCCATTCTCATTCTCTCTCTCTCTCTCTCTCCTCTCACTCCTCTCTCTCTCCTCTCTCTCTCTTTCGTGTTTTACATGACTAAGGAATTAAATCATCATCTTTTCATCCCTGTGGACATACTTTCACTCAGTAAAGTCTGTATGTTTATGTTTAGGAAGTAAAGTGCTTACAACTTCTTTCTCTCTCTCTCTCCTGTAGTTACACAGTAAGGATTTTTGAATGTATAGTGTCATCTAAGGTAAGCTTTCATATGGTCTCTGCATATGAAGCTTATTTCTGTTGTCATGTCATACAAAACCTACCAAAGTATGGCATAATTTTCATTATGTCATTTAATGAAAATGGGGTAGTAAAACCAATGTAGCAATGGACTGATTATTTGTACTGTGTTAATTAACAACTCTCGCTGAATCTGCTGAATAAATGCTTGTGATAGCAGTTCCTGCTGTAATGCCAACACATACTAACAAGCTATAGAGGGAGTGATAAAGCATGAACCAAGATAACAGCTTACTATACATAAATAAGCATACATCACAGCACTTGAACCGTCTAATGCCAGTTATTTGCTCCAAGGTTCAGGCAGCTAGGAAGTAATACTGTTTAATTATACCCAATTCTTATCTCCTTTTCTTGAAACTGTACATCACAGCAACTTTAAGGAACTAGTTTAAAAGCATGCCAGATTTTGTGTGTCACAGATATAAAAGGTGAAAGAAAGAAAGAAAGAAAGAAAGAAAGAAAGAAAGAAAGAAAGAAAGAAAGAAAGAAAGAAAAAGATATTTGACAACATTTAATTGCTCTAAGTTAACTCAAGTAGTTTCGTTTTAGCTGGGTTGTGCGCACAATTGTCATTTGCATTTTTATTTGCTTGAATGTGCAATATATGTATCTCTGTGACAGTAAATCGTAAAATATAATCCATAGAGCTTTGAAAGAGTCTTGCATTTGAGATTAATGGTGCAAACATTCAAAGGTAAGTTCTTTATAAAAGGGCATGGTTTTTTTCTCTCTCTATCTCTCTAGCCAAAGCTGTCTTAAAACAAAGCATTTCAATGTTTGTTTGTTTTTTAACTATTGTTACTTCACTGAATGTCAGCAAGCTAAGGTAACTCTTCTTGGAATTTAGACTATTAATCTGGCCTAGAACGGAATTCTCATGATACCAACGTTGCTAAACAATTCAAGAAAATGAGCATGAAGTTACTATATTTCATGGGTTGGCAGCTTATGCATATTCTTACATTACTGGTCTGGTAGATTTTATTAAGTCCCACTGCAACATTATAATATCAACCATTCGCACTAGATAGGATGGTTTCAATCAGGGGTGGGCTGCTATCGGTTCACCCAGGTTTGGGAGAACCTGTAGCTAACATTATGGTTGATTCATAGAACCTCCAAGTCTCACCCTTGCCCAATCCCGTCCACCCTGCCCTGCCCACCCCTTCCCTCCCAGGAGTCTCCACGCAGCCCATTTTGGATGTAAGGTAAGTGCAGACCCCACATGGAGGCTCAGGGGGCGGCCTCCTGGAAGGCCTCTAGAGCCTGGAGGAGACAGTTTTCGTCCTCCCAGAAGCTCAAGGAAAGCCTCCAGAGTCTGGGGAAGGCCAAAAAAACCTCCCCTACCTGCCATGGTGCATGAGACCGACTAGGCCACGCCCCGCCCCCCCCGGCAACACACACCCAGCAACTGGGCAAAGAACCCATTGCTGAAATTTTAGAAGCCCACTCCTGGTTTCGATAGCTGACAAGTGTGGTGAAAGTATTGATAGGGAGGTCACCGAATGCAGTAATAGCATACATTGAGGTGGTGATCATCAGCTTCAAAATGGCTGGCACAGATGGGCAACCCAAATCCCATCCCCCTTTTTATGTGTATAGGGTGCATGTGATGCATGTTAAAAAGGACTGAGGCTTTGACTGCCCAGTTGCACCCGCCATTTTGGGGGTGTTGACCCTCCCCTAGTTATAGCTTAGTGCAGTAGTTCCCAAACTTGGCAACTTTAAGACTTGTGGACTTCAACTCCCAGAATTCTGGGAGTTGAAGTCCACAAGTCTTAAAGTTGCCAAGTTTGGGAACCACTGGCTTAGTGTAACAGATTTACTGGGAATTGTAAAGAAGAAACACGGAAGCAAAAACAGTCACACGGTTAAAATGTAATATAAACTGGATATCATTATTGTTTACAGAAGAAAGGTGTTGGGTTGCCCTTGGTATTCGCCTTTTAAATATTCTTGATACTATAACAGGTTTTACTTTGGATGACTTTCACTATGCTGGATCCACCAGCATCCTATTGAGTCTCCTTTCTCCTTCTCCTTCTCCCATTCCCTTATTCCAATAATTAGAATATAGCTAAACAATTTCACTTCAAAGCTTCTTCACCATGTTTGGCTTGGAGAATTTATGAAGACTCACACTATGAGTCTTTGATGAGTACCTGACAACTTGACAGCCACAAGAAGAATAACTTGACATTATTGGCAGCAACTTCATGCTGGATTCATTATGTTCCCATCCAATGGACAGGGAAAATGGTCAACGGAACATAAAAATCCTGACCTATCATTCTTGGAAGAATTTATTTCATTCACACTCAAAGAAAAAAAAGTAGCAATGAGAGCAACCCCGTCTAAAAACCCTAAACCTATTTACATTAAAGGAAGCCCTGCTAAAATGTATATTTCTCCTTTTGTAATTGCACAAGTGTGTGCAAGTATAAAGATCAAAGCTACCCTTTTGGTTGTTTTCATAATTGTTTTGTCCTCAGGTGGTCTTTCGTTCTTCCGGCTACTACTGCAAGGGGTACCTCCACATATTGCCCAGTCGTATATGAAAGAAATGGAAGCAAGCAAGTATGGAAAAAAATAAACTCTGGCCCCAGTGCTTCTCTGCTTCTGCACCAGAAACTGCTAGCCACTCTGCAGCCTCTCATTTCTACCGTGATCCTCCTAAATCATATATATCGCACCTTCTGTCTTCCCCCACCCTGTTGCTGGTGGGGGGAAAAAACTCACGCATGGATTGCTTATTTTTTTTTCTTTTTGAAGTTTAACAAAATAAGCCGATGCTTACCTGCATTTTGTACCGTTGTGTATTTCTGTTTCCTTCTCTTTCCCCTCTCTTTTTTAATGCAGAAAAGAAGACAAAGCTAAACATATATGCATGAAAGCTCATTTTTAGTTTCTAATTTATGTTTTAATTTTTGGGAAAAGCAGATGCTGCGACACCCAATAACGATGGAATCAGAACATACCTCTTTTGAAAACCAAATAACAAATTATAGGTTGACATGTCTCCTGTGTACACATGATTTATAGCATTTAACCATTAATTAAGTTGAGTGAATCTCAAGTTAAAAAGGTTTTTTCCCTGTTGTTCATTTGTGAAATCCATTTCTTTGAGCTACTATAGGGGATTTTTTTTTTTTGGTGATGTACAATAAAGCTGAAGTGTTTATGACCTAGCCACGTATTTGGAATTCTTATGCTTATTTTATGTTATTTTGTGTTATTTTGTTTTCATAATGTCTTGGCTTTTTGTTTGCAATTACAAACACTGAATTGTGGGCTGGGATACAGATACGCTCATATATCTATTCCCAGGGGTGAAATCCAGCAGGTTCTGACAGGTTCTGGAGAACCGGTAGCAGAAATTTTGAGTAGTTCGGCAAACCAGTGGCGGAAATTTTGAGTAGTTTGGAGAACCAGCAAATGCCACCTGTGGCTGGCCCCAGAGTGGGGTGGGAATGGAGATTTTGCAGTATCCTTCCCTGCCACACCCACCAAGCCACACCACGCCCACCAAGCCACACCCACAGAACCGGTAGTAAAAAAATTGAATTTCACCCCTGTCTATTCCTATCCATTATATTATTCCATTTAGGGGTAAGCACTGTTGTATAAAGCACATAAGAAAGGAAAATTAAAGGCATCTTATTACAAAAAGAAGTATCATATAAGTGAGCCTAGTTTGCACCAACTCCATTCATTATGCTTCTCCATACTTTTTTGTCCTGCAAATCTTCTGGGCTTTCATCATGACCATTTATCACTTCGTACATCTTGCAAACTTTATCCAAACACAACTTTCTCAATCTTCTCCTCTCAGCCTTTCCTCATACACTTGTTTGGTGAGTCAGTTCTCACTCTCTCTATGAACACACTTCCTCATCTCCTTGGCCACAAATGTTTGTATCATTTATTCAGCACTTATTCTTTCTTGACCCTATATTTTCTTGTTTACTACACACACTTCTTAAGTACCCCCTGCATTAAACTTTTGTGTTTTTATATCATGGCAAACTCTCATTTTTATATAATAAAGTGTAGCGAAGCTCACTATGGGCAATTCCAATTCTTTACACCAACTTGCTAATAATAACTGACAGTACTGGTCAGTTTAGGCATATTTTGGTCATAACCCAGTTTTATCCCAAACATATTCACATTATTCTATGCAAGGCAGGGTCTCTAATATGGGGACAACTTTCCAAGCTAGGATTGTTTCCTCTATCCCGCCAACTAGTAGGTATATGCAGTGTCTACATCGCAATGTATTTCAGAATGTATTGGAACACATAGCAATCTGGAGTCTGAGGCCTGGTGGAGGCCTCAGACACAACCTGTCCCTCATTTGTTATACTTCACTTCAATCCCCAGGAAGATCAAGACTACAGGTTCATCGGGGAGGCCTATTGTGACCCTCCAGCAGCCAGTGGACCTGGTGACAGACTCAGACAGTGAGGAGGTTAGGGAGGAACATGGGCCAGTCCTGGAATCTGGGGAAGGCTCTGACGAGTGGTCTGAGTCGGAGGCAGAGAAAGAGCCAGGGCCGTCTGACAGTTATCAGCTGCCTTCAGAGTCGGAGATCAGTGAGGCAGAAGAACAGCTGGAGCCTGTTCCCGATGTGCACATGCACAAGCTGTCAGGAGAAGGGAACAGTTAAGGAACAAGGGCCGACTCGGGAGTAATAAGTGAACAGGTGGACATTGAATGGCCCTTCCCATAGAGAATAAAAAGGAGCAAAAGGGGAGTGGAGTTTGCAGGAGGCAATTAGTTCTCTTAATTAATGGGAAGATTTGTTCGTGAATATCAGAGACTCCTTGCTAAATATTTTCTTGTACAGCATTGCATTTGGAAGATATCGGACTGGCAGTTCTCCAAGCCTGATAAGGTCTGTGGTTGTAAATTCACCCTTGAAAGACACTTTGCTGGATATGAATGAGAGGAATTCACATTAGCTTAAATAAAAAGAGGTTTTGTCGGGACGGGGAGTCTGCTTCGTGATTTTGTGAAGCCTAGGTTAGAACAAGGCCACCCTTAAATGACCCACATAGGAGAAAGGATTTAGGAGCAATATTCTTAACGAGACTCTGCTTACTCACCTAACAAGCCTATTCAGATTAGATGCAAAATTAAACCAGTAAATTAAACTCCAAATATGGGGTTTCTGCTAACAAACTTGCTCAGACTGAAGTAGCTATTTGGGTAAGCAGTAAAACATTTCAAACTAAACAGATAAGTCCATTTGCCATGACTCGATTTCTAGACAACTCTACCTGGATGATTGAGAATCTTGGACAGATACAGTATATGTTGAATAACTATTGACAAATTTCTAGGACAGCAACATAGACATATTAATAGTGTTACCAACAATGACTTCTTCTGAAACATTTCATGTAGAGCGATCACCTATTCACATAATTCCAAGCATGTTTTATACAAAAATGCCAGTGGAATTAAACTCAGTGGAATTACTTGATTTCAAAGTTTAAGGTTGTATGCACAGTACTTGTTTTAATGTATTAATAACTTCATCTGGAATTGAAAATAATATAGGAGTGTCTGAAAGACCCATTACAACCCTCTAGGTCAATGGATACAAACCCAACTTTAATTCTTCAATTTATGAACAGCTACTGCAATTGAAATATAGCTCATACAGTACAGACTCGAATGCCATATTTTGAAGTAAGTTATGCTGATCTATCCTTATTTCTGTCAAACAGGCTGAGGCAGAGGATGGGCACATGCAAGGCTACTAAACCCAAGCAGCTCAAAATGTATTTGAGTTTTTTGGTATTATGACTACCACGTAATGGTTGTGTGAATTTTTGCTGCCTGGATTTGATAACCTTAGTTTGTGTAGCTGATTTAGACTTCAGATAATGCTCTACAAGTATTGTCTGAAATACATTTTGTATCTCAAAGACTGAATGCCCCACAATTTATATGCATTGTTCAAAGTAATAAAAGTCCCTCTTCTTCAGGAAAAGCTGATATTTGAGAGCCCTTTTCTGCAAAAATACATCCAAAGACACACTAGATCAGTGATGGTGAACCTTTTTGGTACCAAGTGCCGAAAAGGGAGCACTTTGCACACACTCATCTGGGCCGCGAGCAGGAAGAGGAGCTGCACAGGGGGCATGCACGCAGCCAACAGGTCTTCTGGTTTCTGGCTCACATGCGCATGCACTGATCAGATGGCCAGCATGCATGCTCACGCCAGAAACCCAGAAAAGTAATGGGCAACACCGCGCAGGCAGCATGGCTTCACATGCCACTTCGGGCACAGGTGCCCTAGGTTCACCATCATGGCACTAGATTGTTATACTTCACATGCGACAGAAATAACATACAAGACACCCAACTTTTTGTTCAGTGACTTGTTTACTGCAGGAGCTTCATAGACATAAACATGAATGAAAAGTGACACATGAAAAGTTGCTTTATTGCATATAAGAAAAAGGCCACATGCATACAAGTTCTGCGCTACACAGAGCACAGAAATCAAGTTTCCTAATATATATTATATGTTCCAGTGTTTAAATTCTAGGTGTCTTTGAATCAACGGCCTTCTGGTCCTTTTTCCCCCCAGACAAAACTCTCAGTTGTAAACATCTGTTCAATGTTTATATATTGTTTTGTCTGGACAGATAATTCATTGTTTACACCTCACTAGCTTCAATTTTTTATGCATCAGTGATGCTGTGCACCATCCCCCAGTACAGTAGCATTTCACAAGTAATTCAGGTAGCTTCTATATTCTGTACAGTATTTAAAAATCAGTCATGAAAACAAGCGAAGGAAACTAAAGTAAAGATTTTTGGGAAGGAAAAAATGGTGAAAGATGGATTAGAGCTGCTGTTGTAGGTATTGTCGGTGGAGTAAGCATCTAGAATCATGAGAATTTAGAAGTAGCAATCAGTGATTAACACCCTAATACAGGAGTCCCCCAACTTCCGGTGCATGGACTTGCACGGGGCCACAGCATAACGGAAATTGAGCCACGCAGACAAGCAAACCTCCATTTGCGGGCAGCACGCAAAACCATGCCCCTCCAGTCCATAGAAAAACCTCTCTCCACGGAAGCAGTCCCTGATGCCGGAAAGGTTGGGGACCGCTACCTTAATACCCGTACCCATTAAACCTATCCAGAGGCAACAGTACAGATGAATAATTATCTTCAGCATTTATTCTATACTTTCTCTTTTGTGTGACACGTTTCTGAAGTGGATATATACAGGTGCAGCAACTCTGTATATTAAAACATATGAACACAAATCAAAACTCTTAGTATGAAATGTACATAATAATCCAAGCTGTCATAATCATGGTATTAGATGCATCAAAAGGATTAAATAGAAAAACTACTTCCTGATGTGCCTGGGGCAACTGTAATCTAATGCAAGGCTTATATTGAAAATGTTCTGGAAAAACCTTTCAGTGTGATAATTATATATAGGCAAGGCAATCATGTGGATATCAGCCTTCCTTCAGCCTTGTGCTATCTAACTCCTGTCATTGCTAATCTACACGGCCAATGACTCAGGATGGGGGCAAGAGGTGACTATAGCAAACATGAGCATAGTTTAGTACCATGCACACCCTTCTATGTTAAAAGATAGTGTGTGGTTCAGTGTGCTGTTCATATCCAAGCAACTGGGTTCAAAAGGTTAAAAGTAATTATATTATTAACGACATATTATGTGACTGCAACCAAAATCAAAGCGTACAACTTTTATCTCTGTATCATCTTCTAATACGGTAGATACAGGTTTCTCTGTACAATACAGGTTTGTCTGTACATGGAAATGCTCCTACATGACGATCACCGAATTGGCGACACTTGTTTAGTCCTGGTTTACTTTGTTTATTTATTCATTCATTCATTCATTCATTCATTCATTCATTCATTCATTCATTCATTCATTCATTCATTTCATCAAGCATGAACTAGATAACAGATATAAGTATAAACATGATTACGAATACATGAAATGGATAGGAATACAAGGGAATATTAGGACAGGGACGGTAGGCACGCTGGTAGCTTATGCACACCCCTTACAGACCTCTTAGTGAGGCCGATAGTAGACAGGCTAAGGTTAAAATTATGGGGGTTTGGGGAAGAAACCACCGTGACAGGTTCCAGGCACTGACAACTCTGTTTAACTCCGGTAAACAGAGTTAAACAGATTAACGGAGTTAAATCTTTCATTTGCTCAAAACTTCTGAATTTGCCCCGTGAAGTAATTCACCCAACATAGATAAACATGATGCTGAGGTGCTGCGCAAACGCATCCGCAGCCTTCCGGATCACCTCAGAATCGACGCAATAGGATCTGTCGCCCTCCGGCTGCCTGAGGGTGACCGAAATCACCCCGCCTTCTGCAGACCAAACGAGGGGCGAGAGAAACACGGAAACGGCGGGTTCGGCGGAGGAAAGTCGAGGGGGAGAGAGAGAGAGAGAGAGAGAGAGAGAGAGAGAGAGAGAGAGAGAGAGAGAGA